TTAGGATAGACCAAGAGACAGAGCCCACGTTCTTCCCTCTGGTGCTTTTCAAGTTAGTCTAGATAAACATTTTGACAGCAAATTGTCGAATGGTGAGCTCTGATTGGTCACGGCCGGCAATAGTCCAACTTAAGCCATCTTTTTAGGTCGCTTATCAAAGGTGTCATTTCCGGAGTTGAAGCAACTAAACTCGGTTTTTTTTTGCGTGTAAACTGTTGACTTAGTACTGGAAAATTTGGTCGGCGCTGATAGCTAGTGGTCATAGGGTCAGTCAATTATATGCTAAGGTCATTGAAGGATGGTTTGTGTTTTTAATCACTCGAGACTCACTGATCTTTGTCAATGTCACGAAAAGGCCACAACGAGCCAATGGGGGGGAGGGGGTTCAACTGTGCTAGCTTTGTGCTGTTTCACTTTATTTTGAACAAAAATAAGCAGAACTTACAATGTTATTTTGTAAATATTCCCTTATTTTTTTTACACTACAAGGTGGCTCAGGGATGGGAGTGGGATTGGAGTAGACATCACGTTTCACTCGTTATTTTACATTAATTCACACGTCACGTATGATGGAGAAAACAAACTTTTAAAAATTCTTAGAAAACGTACTGGAATGCATTCATTGCCAAGCGTCTTTCACCGTACTGACCAAATACGCAGTATACGAGATTGGTGTCATTACTCATACCGGGGCCTGTCATTACGCACTACATTCACGCGTCACGTGTCACAACCCTATCTGCCGCCCTGAACGTTATGCAAATAATCCCGCAAAGATTCCATCATCTCATTAGTCGGCTTCGCTACAGGTTTCTATTCAAACTCAGTGTGTGAAATTATTAATCTTGACAGCTTTCAAACAGGTAAGAACAGGAAAGAGTAAATATTACAGCTTGAATATCAAATTTACTTGCATTAGTTTTGATTGCAGTTCACATAATGTTTTGCTGGTCGTTGAGTACATTTTTTTAGTACATTTTAGCTTACGTGCCTGATCTTTGATCCAGTTATCCTCTGTTTAGTAATATTATGTAATTAGAAGTTTGAGAGAAACTTCTCCTAGGAGCTTTCTTTTCCTTTTCGTAGGAGAATAATGGAGGCTTAGATATTGGTAGTCGACCGTTTTAAATCAGTCATGTAAAGTAGGCTTATATAATTTACAGGTAATCGTCACTTGTTCGATTCAAAACGCCGTAGGCAAAGTTACATAGTTTATATTCGCATTTGATTCAAGAAAGATGTGCATTCGATTTAGTTATTAACGTACGAATTATGAGAATTACGTTTTGCTTATCAAATGGATTACCATTCATTAACGTTCATGCYCATTTATGTTGAATGCCCACATCCAAGACCTTGTTTTTCGATCGCTTTCTCTTTCAGAAATACCTTGAAAATTTAGTGCTTTAGTTTATATCAAATGCAGTTTTAGTTTATACAAGGGTGAGAGATAAGCTTGTAAGATAATGCTTATGGCATTTTATACTCGTTTTGRGTGAACAAATTCCATATGAACACTGGTTTCAAATGCTTCAAAACAGAGGGAGGAAATGCCATGGAAGAAAACAACACATCAAAAAGCTCAACTTACATATGCAGTTTTGTTGCATAACAATTAGATGAAGATAACATGTTGTGTGTCAACAGAGGATGAGAAATTAGAGAGATTCATGATCAGTGAGGAGGCTTTCATTTATTAGCACATGGGGGGG